ACGTGGCCTCCGGTTGCCGCGCCCCACGTCAGCGCGCCATGGGACCTCGGCTGGACGACGACCAAGGCCCCAAGTCGTCCCTGCAAACCCCGGCAAGTCGCGGCACCTCACATGCTCGGCCCGCATACTCGGCACATATGGGTCGTCGCGTTGCGGCGGGGGAGAGCCGAGTAGAGTTCGGGGATTCGGTTCAGAGAGGGCGATTCGGCCGGGACCGGGGAGACATTAAATGGTCGGAATTGGGGCACAGAATAGTGGCTGCCTCAGCGGGTTCATCCGTCGTTACCGGATCTATTGATGGGGTCGAGGTCAGGGTGTTAGTGGACACGGGGGCATCGGCGACTATTATATCGGATCTCATTTATAATATTCTCCCTGTACAATGTCGTCCGCTTCTTCCGGTGGATGTGCCATTTTACGCCGCTAACGGGGGATCATTGGGCATTATCGGTCAGATTAGGGCGTCCATTTGCATTGGTGATATCAAATTGTCGGGACCCGTTTTTGTTTCGTCCTCCCTGGCGGTCCCTTGTCTATTGGGCACTGATTTTCTGGCAAAAATGCCCATCAAAATTCTCATTGATCAGCGTTGCATTGAACTACCATCGGGTCGCCGTATTTCATTTTTGACGAGCCCTAATGAAATTCGGACGGCGTGCGCTACCATACAGGCGTTAGCGACACAGACCGTGCACGTGCCCCCGGGTTCACAAATGTTAATTCCCCTCCGGTTGCGGAAGCCATGGGTGAAGGAGGCCTCTGAACAGGGCATGCTTTTGGGTCCTTCTAATAGGGCTGTTGGTGGTCTCGATTTGTCGGTGGCTCACACTTTGGTGGGGGCTGACAGGGATCCGTTTGTGATGGTTTTGAACGCTGGTGCGCGGCCGGCCGTCATTCAGCAGGGCACCGTGCTAGCTCACGCGGCGCGGGTCCCTGCGGAGGAGAGGCTGGTTGCGCAGGCGGATGCGAGTCCCACGGAAAACGTTACATTGAGGGAGGACCTCGATTGGGTTGATTCGCTGTGCGCGGACTCTGATGATTTGTCAGCGGTACAGTTGGGTGCGCTGCGCGGGTTGCTCATTGAATTTTCGGATGTCTTCAGTAAACATAAGTATGACATTGGGTGCACGGACCTGCTACGCCACCACATTGAAACGGGCGATGCGGCACCGGTCAGGCAAAATCCCTTCCGACTGAGTCCTGCTGAGAAGGAACATGTTCAGTCGGCAGTTAACGATATGCTAGAAGCCGACATTATTTCGCCTTCCTCCAGTCCTTGGGGAGCGCCTATTGTGCTCGTTAAAAAGCAGGACGGGTCCCTGCGATTTTGTGTCGATTTCCGTCGCCTGAATAAGATCTCTGTGGCCGACGCGTATCCGCTCCCCAGGATGGACGAGTCTCTCGACGCATTGTCTGGTGCGCGATACTTTTCGACTCTTGATTTATTATCCGGATTCTGGCAGTTGCCACTCGACGAAGAGTCTAAGCCTAAGACCGCATTTCGGACTCCAGGGGGCCTGTTTCAGTTTAACCGGTTACCCATGGAACTTCACTCCTCTCCGGCGACGTTTCAGCGTCTTATGGAATTGGTTTTGTCGGGCTTGCAGTGGGATACGTGCCTCATTTACCTTGACGATGTCATTGTTTTCGGTAAAACGTTTGAAGAACACCTCCAGCGATTGAGGGGGGTGTTCTTGCGAATGCGATCGGCTAAATTAAAGTTTAAACCGGCCAAATGCCACCTTTTTCGTAAATCCGTGAGGTACTTGGGTCACATTGTCGACTCTTCGGGGATTTCTACCGATCCTGCGAAGACGGACTGTGTCAGTTCGTGGCCAACGCCCACGTCAGTGTCAGACGTACGCAGTTTCATCGGTTTTGCTTCGTATTATCGCCGATTCGTTGAGCACTTTGCCACCATTGCTAAACCCTTGCACGCTCTAACGGCGAAAGGAGTGAAGTTTCGATGGGGACCGGAGGAGGAGGCTGCATTCTGCTCCCTCCGGGACGCCTTGGTTAGGGCCCCACCCTTGCGCTATCCGGACTTCGCGAGTCCCTTCTTGCTAGACACGGACGCTAGCAACACGGGCATTGGGGGAGTGCTGTCCCAAGTCGTTGGAGGGGTCGAACGGGTGGTCGCCTATGGTAGCAGGGTGTTGTCGCCGGCAGAGCAGCGCTACTGCGTCACCCGTCGCGAACTGCTTGCCATTGTTTTTTTTGTACAACAATTCAGGCCATATCTCTATGGCCGTCATTTCACGGTCCGGACGGACCACGCGGCGCTCCAGTATTCATTGCGGGTCGCCCAGCCCTCGGGCCAATTGTCGCGGTGGTTGGAAGTCCTCCAGGACTATCAGTTCACGACTACGTACCGTAAAGGCTTGCGACACACAAATGCCGATGCCCTGTCGCGGTTGTTGCCTTGTCACAAATGTGCGTGCTTATCGGGATCGGCGCGCTGTAAACCGCCGGTTACGGAAGGTAGGGAGGCGTTGGTTGCGGCCGCGAGCACACCAATTGGGGATGGTCCCGCTACCCCTGGGGGTCAGGACTCGCTGCTCTCAATGTCATTGATTGAGTGGGGCCGTCTCCAAATGGCGGACAGCTCCCTGCTGGCATTGCGCCGCAAGACGGGGGGTTCCGAAGGTAACCACGACCGAACTGGCTCCTACGAGCTTAAGCAAGGCCTATTGATGAGATGGGACAGTTTGTCCCGGCGGCATGCGATTGTGGTGCCTGCTGCTGTGAGGGGGAAGGTTGTCTTGGCCGCACACGAACGCCTCTTGCATTTGGGAGTTAACAAAACGCTTGCCCTGCTTCAGCGTGACTATTATTGGCCGGGAATGGGGGGTGACGTGGTGAATATTCTGAAGGGTTGTGTTGAGTGCGCCAGACGGAAACCACCGCCTGTGCCAGCTAATCCACCGCTGCAATCCATCCAGGTCTCGCGCACTAACGAGCTCGTTGCACTCGATATTCTGGGGCCTTTTCCGGTCACGCCTAGGGGTAATAAGTACCTATTGGTGGGGGTCGAATATTTTACTCGGTGGCCTATGGCGTGGCCACTCGCCAACCAGTCGGCGGCGGCTGTGACGGACGCCTTTGTCCAGGGCTACGTCCTGGACAAGGGGGCTCCCGAACGCTTGCTGACTGACCAAGGGAAGAATTTTTCGAGTAAATTACTGCAAGAGGTGTGCGACCTGTTGGGTACCAAGAAGGTGCGTACCTCCCCGTACCACCCGCAGACGGACGGGATGGTGGAGAGGCTTAACAGGACATTGACTTCTATGTTATGCCAGCAGGTGTGTGAGGCGCATGTTGATTGGGACCTGCAGGTCCCTGGGGTCCTCGCCGCGTATAGAATGGCCCCCCATGCAGCTACCGGATTTTCCCCGTTTTATCTGATGTACGGTCGGGAAGTCGACCCGCCCATGGAAACGCAGCTGGGTCTGTCCGCACCACGAGCAAATTCGAAATTGGCAGAGCATATTAAATTTAATATTCATAAGCTGACAGAGGCAAGGGAGGCCGCACGGCTTAATTCACGGGCTCGCCAAATTGCAAACGAGCGGTTGCGGGCACGGAAGGTGTCCGTGCACAATTGGGAACCAGGTGACAGGGCCTGGCTGCATTGCCCGCAGGCACCTTTGGCTACGTCGCCTAAATTGTTGAAGCCGTGGCGGGGACCCGTGGAGGTCGTGCTGGTTGCACGCCCCCAGTGCGTTCAGATAAAATGGGGAAAACGCCGTTGGTACGTCCACCCCTCCCGACTGAAACCGTTCTCGCCTCCGTATGGCCTCCCCTTGTGTCATGAGGGCCGAGCATGTGACGTGACCAGCGACCCTGAGGGGGAATTGTCTTTGCCTGCTCCTCACATGTCTCCGCCTGATCCGCTCCCAGGTGTCTCGGAACTGACAGCTGCCGACCACCGGCGGCCGGATCTTGAGCGGCCGGAGCCACCGGACGGTCGCCAACGTCCCGTCCCATACGACGGACCGGCCAGACGGACTCGCGCTAGGTCGCGCTACTTTGTGTGACCTGCCATGTGAGGAGTCGAGGCAGCCGGAGCGCCTCGGCACTGCGTTTAGTCACAGAGACACTTGGCGTGTTCGTTTTCCGGTGTTCGCTTTTGTTGTGTTGTTCGTCGGGCTGTATATTGCTTCATATTTAAGTGTTGTGTTGTGTTGTTGTTGTTCCGTTACGGGGCACACTGAGAGGTGGAGTTTCTTTGTTACTGCATTGACGTTAGGTTGTGTTGTTGGTTAACAGCCGGGCCGGCTGCAAGCTATGTGGGAGGGGGTGATGTAGAGGTGATACGCGCTGGGATTAGAGATCGTATGCCAGCGCGTAATGATTGGCTGTGTAGGTGGTGACGTGCGCTGACAGTGGAGGATCAGGGGTCAGCGCGGGGTCGTGGGTTACGGGGTACTGATTGGCTGTGGACCGGTGACGTGCTGAGAGGGAGTGATCGGGTGGCAGCGCGGTGTGATTGGTGGAGGAGTGTTAACACGCGCTGGGGAAAACGGATCGTAGAGAGAGTGCGTCGTGATTGGTTCATTAAGGAGCGATGCTCACGTTGAAGTACGCATCAGCTCCGCCTCTCGTGAGCAGGGGCTATAAAAGGGTATGCACACAGGCGTGAGGGCAGTGTGTAACCAGCGAAGAATGAAGACGGGGATGAAGACCTAGGGCCCTGCGGTACCTAGTCCCGCTGTCCTAACGGGACCGGGACTCTGTGTAACCCAGAGGCGAGTGTAGTGTGTGTAGCCAGAGGCATAAGGTCTACACGAGCCGAATGCAGTGTGTGTAGCCAGGGACATAGGGTCTACACGAGTCGAGTGTATTGTGTAGCCAGAGGCATAGGGTCTACACGAGTGAAGGGTATCGTGTGTAGCCAGAGGCCTAGAGTTTACACGAGAGTAGTGGAGTGTGAAGTCATTGAAGGAGACTACACGTTGTATTTTGATACGTAAAGATTTAATAAAAGTGTGTTCCCGTCAAGAAGTTCCTGCCGTCAATTCCCATACTTCAACATTATTAATTACACCTAATGCCTATTTTTTGTTAATCACACTTAATTAACTACATTAACACATTTTACGTATTTTTTTATTTTCTCATTTCATTTTTACCATCCCCATCACCCCCATCACCACCATCGCCATCACCACCACCATCACCACCACCATCACCACGATCCCCGCCACCATCACCACCATCCACATCACCTACCACCACCATGACTACGACCACCACCATCACAACCACCATCGCCATTACCCCCGTCACCACCACCATCACCACCATCTCCCAAGACCTCTGGCATACCAGACGAGGCAGATAACATCTTGGTATATCGAGGTGTCTCTGTAAAGGCTGCTGAATGACTGTCCATTGAAGTTCCGTAGATTACACTCTTTGTTGAATGTTCTTATTTCGTTACATTTAATCTCAAAACACAACAACAATTAAAGGCTCACCACCACCACGTATCTATCACCTAGGTGGGTGAGTGGGAGGGCGAGTGAGTGGGTGAGTGGGTGGGTGAGCGGGTGAATGGGTGTGTGAGTGGGTGGATGGGTGAGTGAATGAGTGGGGGAGTGAGTGGGTAAGTGAATGAGTGGGCAGGTGAGTTTGTGAGTGAGTGGGTGGGTGAATGGGTGAGTGGTTGAGAGAGTGGGTGGATGAGTGGATAGGTGAGTGGGTGAGATAATGAATGGGTGAGAGAGTGGGTGGGTGAGTGAGTGGGTGGGTGTATGAGTGGGTGGTTGAGTGAGTGGGTGGGTGCATGGGTGGGTATATGAGTGAGAGGGTGGGTGAGAGGGTGGGTGAGTGGGTGGGTGAGTTGGTGGGTAAGGGAGCGAACAGGTGAGTGGGTGAGCGAATAATGGTGTCACAGTTTGCATATCTTCATGGCCCCGTAGGCGTCTAGGACGATAAGGTTAGATTCGTGTACAGTGATGGACAAGAAGTATCCACCGGGAATTGGCTCAGTCCACGCCGCGCCATTCACAGCCCTGCGTGAAGAACAGAGACAACATAGACTCAGCACCGCACCATAGACTCAGCACTGCCAACCATCGTCAGCACTGCCACCCAAAGAATCAACACTGCCACCCATATAGTTAACATTGCCACCCATATGCTCAACACTGCCACCCATAGACTCAGCACTGCCACCCATAGAGTCAGCACTGCCACCCACAGAGTCAGCACTGCCACCCATAGACTTAGCACCGCCACCCATAGACTCAACACTGCCACCCATAGACTCAGCACTGCCACCCATAGAGTCAAAACTGTCACCCATAGACTCAGCACTGCCACGCAGAGATTCAACATTGCCATCCATAGATTCAACACTGCCAGCCATAGTTAGCACTTAGCACTGCCACGCATGAGACTCCACTGCCACCTATGAGACTCAACACTGCATCATAGACTCAGCACTGAGACCCATAAACTCAGCACTGCCACCCATAGACTCAGCATTGCCACCCACAGACTCAACGATGAGACCCACAGACTCAACAATGAGACCCACAGACTCAACAATGAGACCCACAGACTCAACAATGAGACCCATAGACTTAACATTGCCACCCACAGAATAAAAAATGAGACCCATAGAATAAACAACACAACTCCAACCTGTAGTAGAGTCGTGCATCGATTCCGAGGAGGTAGACTCCACCCGCGGAGTCCACCTCTATTTTCTTGGCTAAAGCCGGAGGGTCTGGACCCCTCACCCACGTCGTGTTGGCGCAGTCAACGTTGGGCTTATGCCACATACGGGATGAGGAGTCGCAGGCCCAGCATTCGTTGGGCGAGCAGCCTACGGCGTAGACGCTGGCGATGATATTCAAGAGACTTTTCGAGGTCGTAATCCGGGACGGGTGCTCGCCAGGCGCGGGCGCCCTGTCACAGATGACGCTGAAATAGCCGTCCCTTTCACCGGTGGCGTAGATGTAGCCCGGGGCTCCGCCCGTGAATGACTGTACGCCAACTGCACGCATCCATTCATATATATATACATTTCGTAAGAAAATTTAAGTATATATAGGGTGGTTCATGTTAAGAAAGTTTTTGCACGTACTTAAGTGTGGTAGAACATTACCACAGGAACGTAACCTGAGTGGATGAGTGAGTGTGTGAGTGAGTGGGTGGGCGAGTGGGTGGGTGGTTGAGTGGATGAGTGAGTGAGTGTGTGATTGGGTGGGTGAATGGGTGACTGAGTGGGTAAGTGACTGAGTGGGTGAGTAGGTGGGTTTGTGGGTGGGTTAGCGCGTTTGTGGGTGGGTGAGCGCTGCACCTCTTTCGCACATGGGCCGTGGTGGCGCCCCACCTCGTCGAGGTGAGGCTGGCGCTCAAAGAGCACTGCGAGTTCCTCGACTACCAGCTCGACCCAGCCAACTGCTTCGACATCGCGCGCTTCACCGACGCTCACAGCTGCCCCAAGCAATGCCTAGCGGCGTGGCGCTTCCAGCAGCAGCGCTTCGAAGAGGTCCGCTGCACCGAGGTGTTCCTCGAGCTGAGTCCAGCAGAGCTGCACGAGGTTCTGTGAAGCAACAACCTCGCATGCACCTCCAAGGGGTCGGAGTACTGGACGCTCGAGAGCTGGGTGAAGGCCGACCCCCGCGAGCGCCGGCTCTCAAGCGTTGCGTGTGGCTATGCCTGCTCATCGTCAAGTCGCATACCAACAAATGCAGGACGACCACGCAAGCAAACAGCTGCCCAGCGCCGCCACCGCCACCAACACCGCGGCAACGCTGCTTATCGGTAGCGGGCAAAACGGAGAGCGGTCAAGCAAAGAGGGCCGGAATCGCACTAGCACGCCTTCGGGGACTGAGGGCCTCTGGCCTCTCAAACACCACAGTCTCTCACACATCACAACCTCCCACACACCACAACCTCTCAAACACCACAGTCTCTCACACACCACAGCCTCTCACACACCACAGCCTCTCACACACCACAGTCTCTCACACACCACAGCCTCTCACACACCACAACCTCTCAAACACCACAGCCTCCCACACACCACATCCTCTCACACACCACATCCTCTCACACACCACATCCTCACACCACAGCCTCTCACACACCACAACCTCTCAAACACCACAGTCTCTCACACATCACATCCTCTCACACACCACAGCCTCTCACACCACAACCTCTCACACACCACAACCTCTCACACACCACAGCCTCTCACACACCACAGCCTCTCACACACCACAACCTCTCAAACACCACAGCCTCTCACACACCACAGCCTCTCACACACCACATCCTCTCACACACCTCAGCCTCTCACACACCACAGCCTCTCACACACCACAGCCTCTCACACACCACAACCTCTCAAACACCACAGCCTCTCACACACCACAGCCTCTCACACACCACAGCCTCTCACACACCACAGCCTCTCACACACCACAGCCTCTCACACACCACAGTCTCTCACACATCACATCCTCTCACACACCACAGCCTCTCACACACCACAGCAACTAACACACCACAACCTCTCACACACCACAACCTCTCACACACCGCAACCTCTCACACACCACAACCTCTCACACACCGCAACTTCTCACACACCACAGCAACTAACACACCACAACCTCTCACACACCACAACCTCTAAAACAACACAACCTCTCACACACCACAGCCTCTCACACACCACAGCCTCTCACACATCGCAACCTCTCACACACCACAGCCTCTCACACACCACATCCTCTCACACACCACATCCTCTCACACACCGCAACTTCTCACACACCACAGCAACTAACACACCACAACCTCTCACACACCACAACCTCTAAAACACCACAACCTCTCACACAACACAGCCTCTCACACACAATTCTACGTTTTGTCTATGGCAGTATATAGTACGGTGTAGACTCGTGTGATGTAGGAGAATAAAGTTTAGATGGAAGCATATTATATTTTTTACGACGTAGAATTGTAATGTATTACTTACTGTTAGTAACTCAGCTTATTGTAGAGTATATTTAGTATACTGATGATACTATGTAGTTTATACTTTAGTTGTTCACGTGGTGGTTTAAGTTACTGCAGCTACATACTATTAACACTCCTTCCCTTTATTAATGCTACCCCTATCCCCTCCCTTTGATGCTGCTAATCCTGCATAATGTACGGGCATAATTAGTACTAATCACATACCTGCATTTCCCATATCCCCTCCCTTTGATGCTGCTAATCCTGCATAATGCACGGGCATAAGTAGTACTAATCACATACCTGCATTTCCCATATCCCCTCCCTTTGATGCTGCAAATCCTGCATAATGCACGGGCATAAGTAGTACTAATCACATACCTGCATTTCCCATAAATATGCTAAATTCCTGTTGATATGCAAATTCCTTTGTCAAGGCGCTCTTCCCCCTCCAACCCAGCTTAAATATACGCTGCCAAGCCTGGTGGTGTTCATTCAGACGCTGTCTTTCTGACAGACCTGTTCTTCACCTGACGACGGCTGCTTGCGTTGTGGCCGAAACGTCGTGAGAATTATCTTATTATGTTTTATTTTTATTATTTTGTTATTTCCATTCTACGTGACTTTACCGAAAGAACCAAGAAGATGAACACCACAGCCTCTCACACACCGCAACCTCTCACACACCACAGCCTCTCACACACCACAACCTCTCACACACCACAGCCTCTCAAACAACACAACCTCTCACACACCACAGCCTCTCACACACCACAGCCTCTCACACACCACAGCCTCTCACACACGCAGCCTCTCACACACCACAACCTCTCACACACCACAGCCTCTCACACACCGCAGCCTCTCACACACCACAACCTCTCACACACCGCAGCCTCTCACACACCACAACCTCTCACACACCACAACCTCTCACACACCACATCCTCTCACACACCACAACCTCTCACACACCGCAGCCTCTGACACACCACAACCTCTCACACACCGCAGCCTCTCACACACCACAACCTCTCACACACCACAACCTCTCACACACCGCAGCCTCTCACACACCACATCCTCTCACACACCGCAACCTCTCACACACCACAACCTCTCACACACCGCAGCCTCTCACACACCACATCCTCTCACACACCGCAGCCTCTCACACACCACAACCTCTCACACACCGCAGCCTCTCCAACACCACAGCCTCTCACACACCACAGCCTCTCACACACCACAACCTCTCACACACCACAGCCTCTCACACACCACAGCCTCTCACACACCACAACTTCTCACACACCGCAACCTCTCACACACCACATCCTCTCACACACCACATCCTCTCACACACCGCAACTTCTCACACACCACAGCAACTAACACACCACAACCTCTCAAACACCACAGCCTCTCACACACCACAACCTCTCACACACCACAACCTCTCACACACCACAACCTCTCACACACCGCAACTTCTCACACACCACAGCAACTAACACACCACAACCTCTCACACACCACAACCTCTCACACACCGCAACCTCTCACACACCGCAACCTCTCACACACCGCAACCTCTCACACACCGCAACTTCTCACACACCACAGCAACTAACACACCACAACCTCTCACACACCACAACCTCTAAAACAACACAACCTCTCACACACCACAGCCTCTCACACACCACATCCTCTCACACACCACATCCTCTCACACACCGCAACTTCTCACACACCACAGCAACTAACACACCACAACCTCTCACACACCACAACCTCTAAAACACCACAACCTCTCACACAACACAGCCTCTCACACACAATTCTACGTTTTGTCTATGGCAGTATATAGTACGGTGTAGACTCGTGTGATGTAGGAGAATAAAGTTTAGATGGAAGCATATTATATTTTTTACGACGTAGAATTGTAATGTATTGCTTACTGTTAGTAACTCAGCTTATTGTAGAGTATATTTAGTATACTGATGATACTATGTAGTTTATACTTTAGTTGTTCACGTGGTGGTTTTAGTTACTGCAGCTACATACTATTAACACTCCTTCCCTTTATTAATGCTACCCCTATCCCCTCCCTTTGATGCTGCTAATCCTGCATAATGTACGGGCATAATTAGTACTAATCACATACCTGCATTTCCCATATCCCCTCCCTTTGATGCTGCTAATCCTGCATAATGCACGGGCATAAGTAGTACTAATCACATACCTGCATTTCCCATATCCCCTCCCTTTGATGCTGCAAATCCTGCATAATGCACGGGCATAAGTAGTACTAATCACATACCTGCATTTCCCATAAATATGCTAAATTCCTGTTGATATGCAAATTCCTTTGTCAAGGCGCTCTTCCCCCTCCAACCCAGCTTAAATATACGCTGCCAAGCCTGGTGGTGTTCATTCAGACGCTGTCTTTCTGACAGACCTGTTCTTCACCTGACGACGGCTGCTTGCGTTGTGGCCGAAACGTCGTGAGAATTATCTTATTATGTTTTATTTTTATTAATTTGTTATTTCCATTCTACGTGACTTTACCGAAAGAACCAAGAAGATGAACACCACAGCCTCTCACACACCGCAACCTCTCACACACCACAGCCTCTCACACACCACAACCTCTCACACACCACAGCCTCTCAAACAACACAACCTCTCACACACCACAGCCTCTCACACACCACAGCCTCTCACACACCACAGCCTCTCACACACGCAGCCTCTCACACACCACAACCTCTCACACACCACAGCCTCTCACACACCGCAGCCTCTCACACACCACAACCTCTCACACACTGCAGCCTCTCACACACCACAACCTCTCACACACCACAACCTCTCACACACCACATCCTCTCACACACCACAACCTCTAACACACCGCAGCCTCTGACACACCACAACCTCTCACACACCGCAGCCTCTCACACACCACAACCTCTCACACACCGCAGCCTCTCACACACCACATCCTCTCAC